ACATTTTCCTGCAAAACAGAAATTCACCACTCCTTTATTTGGGATGGTTAAACAAGTTGGGTTGTTTTGTTTGTAGAGCAATATTGTGAAAGCCAGTCACAGCACTCCTTTTGGATGCAATTATTTTTTGATCCAATAAACAGAGAAAATATAATGTACTTTGTCTATGTTTGTGAATTTTAACGTCAAAAAAAGACGAATGTGTCACCAAATGCTTATTTTTTGTCATCACTTTTTCACATCAAATACACTAAGAATGCATTGACGATAAAGCATTATTTACACTTGAAGACTTTGTGATGTCGTTACGTAGGTGCCAAGATGTATATTCTTTATCGCCTCGGATTGCTATCGTAATGTTTATGGCTGTGCTGTACTTTCAATTGACTCAGGTTGTCATGGTGATGTGTAAGTAAGCACTATCCTTTGACGACGTATTACTTTGTACATCAGGACATCGTCACCAACAGCTGGGACTTTACAATGTTTTAAAACCAGGGAATTCTATATAAAGATTACAAACTTTAGTGAAGCCTGTATGTGCCGTAAGCCGATGGCAAACCACCAAGTGTCCCGATCAGCGCAGTCAACCTCGAACAATCAACCAGTCAACCTCGAACAGTCAACCAGTCAACCTCGAACAGTCATTCTCATGAATATGCAGCAAATGGTACGGTGACTGCAGTAATCTTGAAACATCAATATGGTATATGATTTTGGAGGAAACAGATAGCATGTCTAAGAAAGGGGAATACGTTTTGCATGGATTACTCGAGGCAAAATTATCCATCTTTCCAACGACGCCTAGCATATTTGTACACTTAAAAGAAAAGTGATTTTTTGCATAGTGAAAATTAATATCTAATTACCCTTTCTACATGTTAGGAATGTTCAACATACGCCCTGTAACTCAATTGTTATCGTGTGCTCACACATCCGGTAGTAACAGGTGTAAATTCCAACTTTAATCACTCTAATTCCCAATGTATTTATATTCACGTAAAACACATAATCAAAAACATTGCACGGCAATTTCGAAAAAGTAGATCTGATATACACTTTTTTCTAGCCTCACGTAAATTAAAGTTTGACACTTATAAGCCAATATAAGGTGTTTGGTACAGACGCTATAACACAATTATACCAACCACAGACACCCTAAGATCAATTATGCACAACCTTTTTGTAAACTCGGACTAGAATGGTGACATTAAGGTCCGTCTCAACTCGGACTAAAATAACGACATTTGGACGAATTTAATCTTTGACTAAGATGAAAGCATTAAGGTCCGATTGACCTCGGACTATAATGACGAAATTAATGTTTGAATAAAGTTGGGCTTAATTGACGACATTTGGGACGGACGAAACTCGGACTGAAATGACGACATTTGGGACGGACGAAACTCGGACTGAAATGACGACATTAGAATAATGGTAAGCTCAAACTATCATTGAACTGTAACAGTGTAACTGGTTTTCGTACAATAACATCCCTACATTTGCTTTGATTTTTTACAAAATTTGGCATGCTCATAAATTTTGGCAAGTCTCGAACTTAGTGATACTGCTAAAAGAAATCTGTGAATATATGTGCGTAGTTTATTGGTTTTCGTGCAACAACAGTTCTAAAAATAGTTCTATTTCAGCTAAAAACGATATTTACAAGCCTTATTCTATATTTGATCGTCAATGTGATCCGTGTTATGTAGGCATATCATTCAGCCAAATTTAATTGATAGATAAAGGAATATCTTCATGTGTAACGTCCAATTTAAGGAGAATACAGGAGATTTATACCCAGCACATATCGTTTTTAAGAAACATGTTTTCATCATGTCTGTTAAGAATTCTCCATGATATTAAAAAATATGTCTACACCAAACTTAAACGATGGACTACATCTATAGCATGTCCTGCTATTGGGGATATTAACTATAAGCTTGTTTTTAGCTCACATGCCCGAAGGGCAAGTGAGCTTATGCCATGGCGCGGCGTCCGTCGTCCGTCCGCCCGACGTCTGGCGTCAATATTTTACTTTAAACAATTTCTTTTCAATAACCAAACGGCCGTGAAGGGTACTGATATTGGGCCCGTAGCATGCTGGGATGAAGGGATACCAAGCTTGTTCAAATGAATGACCTTGACCAACTTTCAAGGTCACAGAGGTCAAATGTGTTAAAATCTTCAAACGACTTCTTCTAATTAACCAGAAGGCCAAAGGTACTGATATTGGGCCTGTAGTATGCTGGGATAAAGGGATACAAAGCTTGTTCAAAGTAATGACCTTGACCAACTTTCAAGGTCACAGGGGTCCAATGTCGTAAAGTCTTTAAACGACTTCTTCTCAATAACCAAAAGGTCGAGGGTACTGATATTGGGCCTGTAGTATGCCTGGATGAAGGACTTCCAAGTTTATTCAAATGAATGACCTTGACTTATATTCAAGGTCACAATGATTGAAAATGTTAAAAACCTTTAAAATAACGTCTTTTGAATAACCAAGAGGCCTAGGGTGATGATATTTGGCTAGTAGCACGCTGGGATGAAGGGCTACAAAGATTGTTCAACTGAATGACCTTGACATATACACAGGGGTCAAATATGAGGGGAAAAAACTTTAAACGACTTCTTCTTAATAAGCAAAAGGCCAAGGGTGACGATATTTGGCCACTTAACATGCTGTGATGAAGGACTACCAAGTGAATGACCTTCGTCCATATTCAAGGTAACAGTGGTCAATATATGTTTAAATCTTTAAATGATTTGTTCTGTATAACCAAAAGGTCTAGGGTAATGAAATTTTGCCAGAAGCATGCTGGGTTGGAAGACTATAAACTCTGTTCAACCTAATGTCCTTGTTCGAAATTCAAGGTCACAGGCGTCATATGTTTAAAACTATTAATGGGTTCTTATGAATCAAATACTAATATTCTGCCTGTAGCTGTATTTTAGTCAATTTTTAAGATTACAAGTGTGAGATTAATACCAGGTGAGCGATGTAGGCCCATTTAGATTTCATGCATGCGTAAGCATTGGCTGTGTTGTGTATATGATGGCACACTGCATGATGAATATTTCATAACAACCTGTGTCAGGGTGTCTATTCGCAAACTTAATAAATATGACCAGCTGATTTTTTTAAAAATGTGATACTATCATCTCCAAAGGAACATTCACGACGCGGAAATAATTTCATTCTATATTCTTCTGATGATTGAAGTATATTGTGCCGAAATTAACGGCGAGTTCTCTAACTCTAACGGATGACATTATGTAAAGCAACCCCACACGACTGGTATGTTAACGAGCTTTGTATGTGTATCCTGTAAACCCAACAGGATATGAACGGTGTTATACGTTTTCCTTCCCATCATTCGATGACACACATTCAAAACTGGTTCACCGGAGACAACACGTTGCCACACATTTTACAGTTTGGCTAATGGCTAATGTTAACTGGTTACAATTAAGCAGGCGTACAGGGACGCATGTAAAATTCATTACATGTTTTTTACAATAACTCGTCACAGTACCAGAACTCTTGTCTGGAACCACAGAACACTGGTGCCGTCACATTAACGAGTTTGAGCAGCGATATTAGTCGTTTATAAGCGCTGACCTCCTGTCACAGGAGCGTGTTAGTTCATTGTTATGGCGATACCTACCAATCTGTATACAGTGGAGAAATGGGTGTGTTATGACGGAATCCCTTCAATGGGCTAGTTCTGCAGCGAAATGCCTTGTAAAGTGGTTTGAACTTGAAATACGATTTCAGTAGCTCGTCTCTTCGTGTGTTTATGACTGGGTATATTGGTCAAAAGGAATATGTTTTTTTTGTTAAATTGAAGGCATGATTTCTTGTACCGTAGAATTGGGAACTATTTTTATTCAGTTTGTGTGAAGGACCAAACATCAAAGATCAGATGCCTGCCACGTCATGACTTTCGCCCACCAATAGCCTCATTCTGGAGTGAAATGATTCGTTTCCAGTTGTGAAAATTTCATCATAGTAAAAATGCCACTGAAAGGAGGAGCAACGATTGTCAGAAGAGAGTCTCAGAAAGCTCTCACTAAGTCATCGAGACCAAACAGTGAAAACCCAAAGAAAAAAACTTTAAAGAAAAAGTCCTCAAACCTCAGTCGTAGCAACATCGTTTACGAGGAACCGACAAATCTGAAACCTCTTCGAAAGAAAAAATCATTCAAAAACGACACTCAAGCAACACGCCCTGACGATGCCGAATTGTTGATTGAAAATGGCAGTGGCACAGGAAAACACCGTCCTGATGACGTTAACAACGTGAACGGACAGCCGAGGATTAATAAGGTTTTTAACATTGATATGACAACTAACTGTTCATATTAAAATACACAATACGCCTAAATGTTTATATTAAAATACACATGATGTCTCAATGTCCATTGACATTTTATATGGCAATGTCCATATAAAAATACATATGATGTTAAAAAGTTCAAACTAAAATACACATAATGTCAAAATATTCATACTAGAATAGATACGATGTCAGAATATTCATACTAAAATACACATGAGTCTTTTTTTTTCAAAACATTTTTTTTCGGGTTGGTAAGTATGGATTTTTTTTTACACAATCAATAAAAATTTCTATTAGACGTCTCGATGACTAGTACGATATGTACACTGTCACCTTCATCAGACCAATGACCAGTGAAGTGTATATACACAAAGGTGTAAAATGTGTACGAGTTGTCCACAAAATCGATTTCGGCTACGCTATAAGCGTATGTACAATAGCTGTTATATATGTACCGAAATGACTCGATTCAGCTACGCTTTGTTTATTGCTTGGTCATAGATGTGCGAGAGTCTTTGAGGCCCCTCATCTCGATTTAGAACTGGCCCACTGCGGCGTTTCCAGATGGCTTCCTTTATCTGCCACTTGAACAGATAGCTTCATTAAAATTATGTTATATGAGTTATTCATAAACACCATAGTTATGTTTTGTTGCAGTTTCAGGCAAGTTCCCAAGATGCTTTACCAGAAGAGGGAATGAGGCAGCACAGATCGGTAGACTCCGGGGGACGGGAATCTCTAGCGAGGTAAGCTCATTGTTAGTTCACATCAATCAGGGAAATTCAGAACTTTAGTTCAGTAGTGGACTTGTGCGTTCATTTCTGTTGTTTGTCTTCCATTTCAACATCGGCAACAAAACGCCAGGCATAGAACGTAAGATGTTTCGAAACACCTTCAGCTCATAAGTGAGCATCATCTGAGATCTAGCAAAAGTGAGGTAATCGTTGTTTGCCCAATGGCGTGTCCACAAGAATCCAATAGCAGCATCTTCGCTCCGTCAATTACCCATCATAAGTCATCTTGAGCAGGCGTCGTTCTCAACGACGTACAAATTCCTGCAGCATCAGGTTGCTTTTTGGTACTCCAGCCGGGCAGTCAATCTGATTATATAATCATGTTATTCTGACCATTTATTATATAATGTTTCAGAGTCCGCTCGTCCCCCGCCGGCCTGACAGATGGAGAAGCGGATATTATCGCGGCCATAGACATCGGTACGACCTATTCTGGATATAGCTTCGGCATTGTGGAAGATTTGAACAAAGACAGGACGGCCATGTTCATCAACAAGACATGGATTTCAGGCAATCCTCGTTTGACCACCATGAAGGCCCCCACGTCTGTCTTGTTTACCCCAGAGAAACGCTTCCACTCGTTTGGATATGAGGCGGAGTGGAAGTACAGTCAACTAGCAGCCGACAAGGTCAATGGCGGATGGTACTACTTCCGGCGCTTCAAAATGCCACTGCTGTCAGATGAAGTTAGTGTTTTTCAAACTATAAGCGTTTTATATCAATGAAGATGGTGGCACCGATTTTGTTGTTGTTGAGTGTATGGTCAAACGAGATAAAACGAAGGTTAATATTAATTCGAAATCACGTTAGTTTCAAATGCTGACAAGACAGAGCGAAAAAATGACATTTGTTAATACTCGATTTTTAACATAATGCTACGGAGACATCGTTGTGTTCAGAAAATGTATGTCAACATAGAATGTTAGGTTATTGAATATGATTTCGAAGGTCAGTACATTTTCATTGTCTGTTTTCGAGCTTTTTTGATAGTAAACCCCAACATACGTGTATGTAAACATTCATTGAGACACTGGGCAGTGAGCCATACAGATTATTGATACCTCTGTACCGCTTGTTACTTACTCGACGTGACTGCATTATTTAGTAGGCCACGTTATTGTCATGTATACACAGCTACCTGTTCAGGCGCCAATTCCCTAGATACGGAGGCTGTGTTCTACCCTACCTATACCTACCTACCTAGCTACGGTCCTATCTCGTGGTAATCGATACTAGGTCGGGTATACATGCTTGGTTGTATGTCTTATTACACGCTACCACTAACGAGCCCATATCGCCAACAAGCTTCCGTATCAATATCCGGGAGACCGTTTGTGTCAAGTAGATATGTATACTATATACATATATGCCGTATCGATGTTTCACGTGTTGGGCTATCGTTGTAGGTTTTCGCTGAATTAATGCAATTGTCGTTGTAATAAAATGACCAGTGCTCTATTTTACATAAGCTGAGGTCAATTTCAAATCAATGATATTTTAATCGTTCTTATAATCTAAAACAAAGTATTCTTGTGGGACTGAAAATTATCACCAGTTTGTAATTACATACAGAAATACAGATAACTTTGTATGTTGTTACAAAATATTTGTAAACATTTATCTTTGCTCGAGAAGCAGTGTTCTAATGATGAAGTACCACATAATCCGCTTGGAGAGGTCAACATCACGTTTGCCGTTCGTACCTGGTTACAAAAATGCCAACACGTGAATATGTGTATTGACCTCTGTCAAATAACGCCTTTATCTCCACCATTATTAACATCAATGAATACACAAATTTAAGAACCGTTATCTGTACCACATATCGGTAACCGCAGATCTATATTTTGCAGTCAACTGCATTTTGAGAAATATGTATATCCAGCTTCAATAAAATATAAGAACAAAACAAATATCATTTTCTTCTTTCCGATATTATGTTACAAAGGCAAGATGCTGAATTGACAATACAGAACCTATTGTTAGCATAATTATGGTCTTGTGGTGTCGAGGAAACAGCCTGTGTTAGTACAGTGGTAGCAACTAATAACCAACACAAGTGATGCTGATGGTGGGTTGAACCTTTCTCACCGTTACCTACATATATGTACTGTATGTATTCGCAACAGTTAAAGGACGAAGGGTACGTGCTTTTTCCCGACTCGTTATTTGACTCTGCCAGTATAAAGATCTGTCATACAGTGTAGATTCAGTAGCAGTGGTGGAGAGGTCAGCAGGGGGTTATTATCACAGATCACCATACAGATAATCCCGGGGTCTCTACAGAGAAACACCTCCGTGAGATAACACTATAAGGAAAGTAAGAGCTAATTCAGACATTACCTGTTTCAGAGCGTAGCCCCACGCAAACATGCCATTTGGACAGTTGACGTAGTATATATGATGTAATTGCTCTGTATCTATTACTAATTACAGTTGACTTATATTTATTTTAAAGGAGCATGCATGTAACGATTTTTTCTTTGATCCCAGAACCTTAACACTACGACCAGTATTATCGACGATACCGGGAAACCACTGAGAGCAGCCATGATCTACGGCACTGTATTAAAGACTCTCAAATCGGCCCTAGTGGAGAACCTGGCCACGTCCATGAAAAGTTGCACGGTACAGTGGGTGACAGAGAACTTTATTTTCCGTTGGGTTATCACACACCCTGCAGGATGGTCAGACGACGCCAAACAGTTCCTCAGACTGGCCGCCAAACAGGTAATTATATATTATAATTCACCCGCGTTAAAATGGATCGTCGTTTAATGTTCGTCGTTATATAAATGTATAGTCCATAATGCAAACGGACTGAAGTGATCCTGGAAGGTGTCTCCCTGTGTCACATTACTCTATCCAGACATTGAGTTTACCCGATCCTTTTCTCTCGACTAGATATGACCACTGGTCATCCTCGATACTCTGTTCAGATAGCGAAAGTGAGCGTAACCCCTGGCGCATCGAGGATGACCGATGATGAGATTTAGAACAGCGCATATCAGATGAATATCAGTGGTACCGTTTATATTTGGTATAAATAGTGCTTCGCCGACAACGTATTTGATTTTGTTCTGAACAACAGTCTTTCAAAATAAATCAATGACAAAGATTTGGATGACATTCGGTATATATTTTCAGTATATTTTTTTCCCCTTCTTTGCTAATATAAGTATTATAATATTCTCTTTGTCTGTGGCTTGGCACTTCTTATGTGATTGATCATCCTCTAAACAAATGCTTGAAACTTTTGGATGCTATTTCATAATCCTTTGACGAGAAATCCTTCTTATTTAGTAGTTTCCGTAACCAGTAATACTGTTGTTTCATTAGATGTGTAATGTGCATTGAAATGCTTTTGAAAACTTGCTTAATTGTAACTTTTTAGCTCTAAGCAATGTAGATATCTTCCATGTGTTATATTGTTTGTGTCTGAGCTGTCACCTGTCTGTATAACTGAGTGAGTTATAAATTAAGATATAAGGAACTATTGGAAATTGGAAATGATATACGCACTTTGTGAAACAGAAAAGATTATGTAGACTGTACTGATGTCAGACAAGATATTATTTATATATATATAACATATCATTAAAGGGGATCACATAATTATAAATGTAGCGTACGAGTTTTACCTGTTAAAAAGAAGCAGCTTATTCCCGAATATACTCTCTCAGTAAATGTACTATTTCTATTGGCTGCTTGTTAAAGATGTTCTGTGCGGAGAGCATTGATACACATATTAAGATACTGAACATATTGCATCAATTTAAGTCCAGCTGTAAACCATGACAAAGAAAGTTTACTACCCAAACCGGTAGCACTCACTAAAGAAGGCGTTGTAAATTATCAAAACAAAATAGTTTTGACAAAGCAGTTCGTTTTCAGAAAAATAGAAGTTTGAAAACATCAGTTCAACACCATATGTAGTATTCATCATTAAGTTGAAAACGCGATAGAAATAACTAGTCCAGCAGTTAAGGATGGTTAGAAAAGTTCATTTTGTATTCACTAACCTTTTTGATAAAGGTATATAGTAAAGTTCAATGCATCTAAATCACAGTTTAGCAAATTTATTATTGAGGTTTTCATAGATAGAGATATGGTAGGTTGGTTTTGGAAAGTATTGTATATGGACATATGAGAAGATCTTTCTTAAACCACTAAGGAAATTATACCATCTTTTAATGATGTTAGGAAAACCTATTGAAAAAAGGTAATAAGTATGTAGGTCAATGAGAAAATAACGTTAGGCGAAAGACATATGGTACGTCACTGTAAATGTTCTATGAGAATGAAAAACTGAACCAATAAAACTAAAACATCTTAACGATCTCAGCCAGTAAAAACATATCTGCATTGTCCTTCCCTGAAATGCCACATAATCAACAGGAAGTGTTCAAAAATGTATTTTTGTATACATTTGTATTGGATGTCATGTATCACATTTGCTCGCAACATCTCCTCGAGATAATATTCGCTGAATCGAACTGATTCAACGGACGTAGCTGTTAAGTTCATGGTTTTGTGTGTTATAGGCCAGTATACCGGATATTGTACTTGTACCGGAACCGGAAGCAGCAGCGATGTACTGTCATATCAGCAACCTTCATCGTATCAACACACGGAATGGAGAAATAATTTGTATTCAAAAACAAGGTCTTCACTACTTGGTCGTAGACTTAGGAGGTAGGTTCACCTCGAAGATACCTTCTCTGGTTTGTGTTCTTGTGGAGGGCTTTTAATATCAAATATCACGAGATTGTCCGTTATATTCCTCTGATGTAATCCATTGTATTTTATTGTTATATCCCATGGACTGTTATATTTCTTTGATAATTTTATTCCATGTGGAAAACTCATTGTATTTTCTTAACATATTTCATTCCATGTGGAAACTCATTGTATTTTCTTATCATATTTCATGAAATGTACCGTTTTATATTTTTGTGTGTTTATATATTCCATGAAATGTACCGTTATACTTCTTTGATATATTCTTTAAAGTGGAAATGACCCATTGTATTTTCTTGATATATTTCCTTAAAGTGAAAATGACCCATTGTATTTTCTTTATATGTTCAATAAAGTGGAAATGACCCATTGTATTTTCTTGATATATTCCTTAAAGTGGAAATGACCCATTGCATTCTCTTTATATATTCCTTAAAGTGGAAACGACCCATTGTATTTTCTTGATATATTCCTTAAATTGGAAATGACCCATTGTATTTTCTTTATATATTCTTAAAAATGGAAATGACCCATTGTATTTTCTTGATATATTCCTTAAAGTGGAAATGACCCATTGTATTTTCTTTATATGTTCCTTAAAGTGGAAATGACCCATTGTATTGTCTTGATATATTCCTTAACGTGGAAATGACCCATTGTATTTTCTTGATATATTCCTTAAAGTGGAAATGACCCATTGTATTGTCTTGATATATTTCTTAAATTGGAAATGACCCATTGTATTTTCTCGATTCATTCTTTAAAATGGAAATGACCCTTTGTATTTTCCTGATATATTCCTTAGAGTGGAAATGACCAATTGTATTTTCTTGATATATTCCTTAAAGTGGAAATGACCCAATGTATTTTCTTGATATATTCCTTAAAGTGGAAATGACCAATCATATTTTCTTGATATATTCCTTAAAGTGGACCGTTATAGTTTGTATGTTCCATGCAATGACTTATTGTATTTTAATTTTTTTTCGTGAGATTGTCCGTTATACAAAATTGTTTCTTTACATCTCTGACAGGAGGAACTGTGGACACAACAATCCACGAGTTTGACGATGAAAACAAGATAAATGAACTTCACAGCACATGTGGCGCAGTGTTTGGCGGGTTACGGGTAGATGGTGCCTTCGTTGAGTTCATGATGAAGGTCATCGGGTTCGAAGAGATGGACAAATTTGCTCAAAGTTTCCGCGGGGATTTACTGACCCTTCACAAAGAGTTCGAGTCTAAAAAACGGGTGTTTGATCCCACCTCCCAAGATTACATTTCAATCAAAGTTCCAGCAATACTACGAAGGATATATGAAGTGAATGCAAAACAGCCCCTCCAACTTAAGGTGGACAACTCTGAATTTGGGGACCTTGTGAAAATGCACGGTGATAACATTAATATTGACCCGGAAATCTTCGACGATTTTTTCAAATCTGCTGGAGAACTAATTTTGACACACGTGATGAAAGTACTTAGCTCCAAAAAAGGCAGAAACGTGAAGACAATCGTAATGGTCGGTGGTTTTGCTCAGGCGGCAAGCATCCAAAGTTTAATGAGGAAGAAGTTCCCGGATATGACGATTCTTATGCCGAATGAACCGGAACTGGCTGTGTTGAAGGGCGCCGTGCTTTACGGACATGAGTTTGCGCCGATCATAAAGATGGATGCAAAATATTCGTACGGAATATCCATAGCGTTACCTTTCCATAGGCACGACCATCACGAGGACAAAAGATTCAATGCAAATGGCGTGGATCTGTGCACGGACATCTACAGCGAACAGATCCGCAAAGGGGAGACCGTCCGTATAGGCGATTTCGTTACAAAAACCAGCTTGTTTGTGAACAGAAAAAGTCAAAAGTTTTTATCTCTTCCTATGTTTCTGCACACAGGTGCCGAATCTTCGGTGTACACCACAGATGCGAGCTGCTATTTTCTTGGTAAGATGCAGATTTCGCTTGCTTCTGATCGAGACCTCAATGCGCCCATTGTAGTCCGAATGGGACTTACCTACTCGGAACTTCTAGTGGAGGTTGTTGACGAAAGTAATGGCCGGACAGTACGAGATACATTCCTAGATTCACCATTAAAGAATGATTAACAGTCTTACATTCTCTGTACTGAATCATGGTGTTATACTTCGTAAGGAATGTGTTATCCGATAAGCTTCATGCGGGATTTAACGGAAATTGAAAACTCTGGATCAACTTTAAGGTACAGCTGTACTCTTGTACTAAGGATGAATACATTGCGTCAGCGATGCGGGTTAATTCTTGCTCACTTGCCTGGTACACAGACTCGCTCATTACCAGTAAAGGTAGGGAAACTCAAAAGAACCGTTTCAAAGGATGATCGCAGATCGTGATGAGAGAGAAAGGGAAGGCCGTGGTAAAAAGCCGAGTAGACAAATTAATCAAATGAGATTCCAAGGCAGTACACTGTTTGATGTACCTATTCAGTGGCTGAAAATCTATAAAGCAGTGTCCTGGCCATGGCAAGCCACGGAGTGGAATGCGTCGGTAGAATCTGTGAACTGAAGTTTTCATTGACAACTCTATAGACGTCGAATGAATGCCGGGTAAACTAGTAACTCCAAGTGTCGTCGTGTTCTGGTCCCGTTTGGTAAGGAAGGCATTATGTATTACAGAATAATCGCTGAATTGTGCAATGACGATCCGTTTTAAAATAATTGCCTTTTGTGAATATATGCTCCAACATTTCTTTTTAAATAGGTCAACACGTGACTATCCCGTGCAGAGCGTGCAGTAATGACGTGAAAACCATTGATATACTGTATATACTTAATGTAAGGCGGGTTTCCGCTTAAATAGCAAACTGTGATACATAAAGTGTACGTTATATGTTTGTTGACACACACCTGTGTGTGAATCTTTTGTTTAATTTATGTATTCCCATGTCGCTATTATTCCGAATAACCTCAATGAAATATGTATCTCTCCAAAAGCGTTGGCATTATTTCACTTTTGGAAATATAGAAAGCGTCCTATTTATTTTGGGTATCAAAAGATCATTAATAAAATAATTACAAAGGCTATTTTGGTCCTGGCCTCTGCCCACACTGCAGCTAACATTTCAACAGAACTTTCACCTTTCGGGCTATTTGTGCAGTCAGTTCGATTAGCTGCCCAATTGAACGCATTGCTATTTACCAGCTCCTATCATAGAAACCCCATGTTCTTGGTACAGTAAATATCCCGTATAGAGGGAAGTTTTAGCGTATCAAACCGTCTTATCAATTTTCAAAATAAAATATCGTGTCTTGAAAATACAAATGTCAAATATTATAAAGGGCTTTGTCCTTCATCTGTTTATGAGAATGGAGTTTGTCCGTCATTTATTAATGATAATGGAGTTTGTCCTTCATCTATTAATGAGAATGGAGTTAGTCCTTTTTTTTATTAATGAGAATGGAGTTTGTCCTTCATCTATTAATTGAAATGGAGTTTGTCTTCAATTATTAATTAAATGGAGTTTGTCTTCATTTATTAATTAAAATGGAGTTTGTCCTTCATCTATTAATTAAAATGGAGTTTGTCCTCCATCTATTACTGAAAATGGAGTTTGTCCTTCATTTATTAATGAGAATGGAGTTTGTCCTTCATCTATTGATTAAATGGAGTTTGTCTTCATTTATTAATTAAATGGAGTTTGTCTTCATTTATTAATTAAAATGGAGTTTGTCCTTCATCTATTACTTTAAAATGGAGTTTGTCTTCATTTATTAGTAAGTATAGAACTTGTCCTTCATTTATTAATAAAAATGGAATTCGCCCTTCATTAATTAGTGAGTGTGGAGCTTGCCCTTCATTAATTAGTGAGTATGGAGCTTGCCCTTCATTAATTAGTGAGTATGGCGCTTGCCCTTCATTAATTAGTGAGTATGCAGTTTTGTCCTTCATTAATTTATGAGTATGCTAGTTTGTCTTTCATTAAATAAATGAATATGGAGTTATGACTTCTTTTACTCGTGAATATCGAGTTTGTCCTTCATTAATAGATGCACTTTGTCCCTCAGTATAATTTTAGAAAAGAGACTGTCCCTCATTAATTGACAAATATGGCATATGTCCCTTATTACCATGTGAGTATGGGATATGTCCTTCAGTCATTGATGAGTATGATGCTGAATTTATCGATATTCCAGTCAATTCCTTAAAACATTTACATTTTCTGTTTTGTTTTTTGTTGCTCCCCAGGGAGTTGAGAAAGGTTTTGGCTGGTTGCAAAGGCCCTATAATCACGGATAATTCTTTGTGAACCGCTTTGAGACGACCTACGAACTTGGTTGTGATAAAGCGATATATAAGAACCTCGAATTATTATTATCATTTTTATGTTAAATCGTATTTTTTACATCGATGAAGTGGTATGACGTCATCTAAATCGCTACTTCTAGTGCTAAAATCTGTAAATACCTATTTAGGAACAAATTGCTCTTGGATGCTGTTCCTATGCTTTGGTTCACAATAACTACAGTGTAAATGAATGTAAAAAGTATATATATATGTATTATTTATATATCATGATCATTATCAGACCTAGAATAAATGCGTAGTTGGAACTAGTCCTCGCTATCATCAGCGGTGCTCCGAGCACTCTATACTGCCCCTTTGTCAGAACGATTTACACTGCCTGAGCGCTCTATACTGCCCCGTGTCAGAACGATTTACACTGCCTGAGCACTCTATACTGCCCCAGTGTCAGAACGATTTACACTGCCTGAGCACTCTATACTGCCCCTGTGTCAGAACGATTTCCGCTGCCTGAGCTCTCTATACTGCCCCAGTGTCAGAACGATTTCCGCTGCCTGAGCACTATATACTGCCCCTGTGTCGGAACGATTTACACTGCCTGCGCACTCTATACTGCCATGTGTCAGAACGATTTCCGCTGCCTGAGCACTATATACTGCCCCTGTGTCGGAACGATTTACGCTGCCCGAGCACTCTATACTGACCCTGTGTCAGAACGACTGACACTGCCTGAACACTCTATACTTCCCCTGTGTCAGAACGGCTTACACTGCCTGAGCCCTCTAGACTGCCCCTGTGTCAGAACGACTTACACTGCCTGAACACTCTATACTGCCGCTGTGTCAGAACGACTTACACTGCCTGAGCACTCTATACTGCCCCTGTGTCAGAACGACTTACACTACCTGAGCACTCTAGTGTTCAGACTTAACAGGTAATAGAGGACCTAAGCACTATTCGGTAAATTCTACAGAATTTATCTAACATTTTCAATATCGTCAGCTATGTAACCAGGAGACGTTAAGTGGCGAGAGAAATTATTTTCAGTGCTTAAATTGATATATATATACATTGTGTATCGGTGGTATATATTTCTAAATACATTGTGTATATGTAATATGAAAACGAATGTAAAAATGGTGTATCACATTACACCGATTTCATATACCAAGATAGGAGCAGACGATATGTCCTTGACATAAGCGGAACCTTTAAAAACGGTATCAAAATCGTGAACTATCTACAATCTTTGTTTTTTGTTTAGTCACTTATGTAACAGGCGTCCTTCGTAGTGGTATATATTTCTAAATCACAAAATGTAGGCCGATTTACGTACATATTGAGGAACTATGAGTTAAGAACACCGAATGGCTATATAGCCGGAACGAAATATGATCTAGTTATTACAACCAGGAAATTACTGGCTTCTAGAAGACAAATATGTCTATTGAAAAGCTTTTTAAAAGGTAAAGAGGTGAACACGTAGAAGTCCTTTTGCAAAATGAATGTGTGGAGATACAAATTATCATTAAAAGATGCAATGATGTAACATCTATAGCATTCTTACTCGGTGGTGGCTATCAAAACCTGCTACGTATTACACTGTGTAGCATCAATTATATCAAGGGAATGGCCGGTTCATACTACAGGCTTGTCCGAGAACATACTAGCCATTTTCACCGATAACTGATATTTCTTGTTGATATATAATTATGTCTTCATACACCAATGTCTGTAAATCTGTTAAAAAGTCATTTATCTGAGGCAAGGTCCAAACTCGGACTAGCTAAACTTTTACAATCGGACTAGCTAAACTTTTACAAAGTCTATCATCATGGAGCAATACAAACCTAGGCTACCTTAATTGTGTAACGCAATCCAAACGGTTGGGCCAGAGTTGTTCGACAAAGCCTTGCAAGGCCTGCAAAGACATGTGCAGGTCCGCCAGGATTTATACCCGTAAAATGTTACATTTAAAATCAGAAGAACCGGCTGTTCCACATAAACGAAACGACCCACAATCAGGCAAAGCGATTCTTTCAATATAATAAAGAGTTATTCCACAAGTATACTTGGTGAGTCATGAAAATCAATTGTTCAAAGAGAGCATTTTTCATAGCGCCAAAAACTGGGTCGCGTATCAGCATCACGAATGGAAATGCTCAGTAATCTAACCCCACAAACGGGTATCCATAATGGGTAGGGTAGTCTCTGTTTTCCTTTAATGTTAAACGGTTACATTTAGGACCGCGGCGATAAATAAACGTCACACAGTCACCACCTGTACTAAACTGGGACATCTGTGACGTCATAACCCCATCAATAGATGTATACTTGTAAATAAAATGGGTATTTTTGTACGAGAATGGAGTAGGTTATTTGTGTCTATTTAAATGACTCTTTCACTGACATAAGGAGAGAAAAAAAGGATTCAACATATGTCAACACCATTCGGATATGTTATAATCAGACAATGTCACGTCACTGGTTGACAAACTCTTGATTTTGTCGGTGAATAATGTTTTGTGATAAGGGACTAAAACACCAAGCATTTAAAAGATAAACAACAATTTGTTTAAATTTAATTTGATTTGTTGTTTGATAATATGAGATTTATAATAAGAATGATAGCACTGTATCACAGGGTAAATAAAAGCAAATAATTGTAATCATCAATGTGTTACGGTTTTTTTTTCACGAACAAACAATCAAAAGCGTATCTCAAACATGTAGCCATCTTCACCCGGAAGCGGAAGTAGATTTCCAAATAAAGAAAGTTATAGCATATTTTCAAATGAATTGAAGAATTGGTTATTAAGAACAACAGAGTAGGATATCATAACAGAAAGCTATGTCTGTAAGAGATAGCAGAGAGATATCATAGCAGTAAGAAATCCTAACAGAAAGCTATGTCTGTAAGAGATAGCAGAGAGATAGCATAGCAGTAAGAAATCCTAACAGAAAGCTATGTCTGTAAGAGATAGCAGAGAGATATCATAGCAGTAAGAAATCCTAACAGAAAGCTATGTCTGTAAGAGATAGCAGAGAGATATCATAGCAGTAAGAAATCCTAACAGAAAGCTATGTCTGTAAGAGATAGCAGAGAGATATCATAGCAGTAAGAAATCCTAACAGAAAGCTATGTCTGTAAGAGATAGCAGAGAGATATCATAGCAGTAAGAAATCCTAACAGAAAGCTATGTCTGTAAGAGATAGCAGAGAGATATCATAGCAGTAAGAAATCCTAACAGAAAGCTATGTCTGTAAGAGATAGCAGAGAGATATCATAGCAGTAAGAAATCCTAACAGAAAGCTATGTCTGTAAGAGATAGCAGAGAGATATCATAGCAGTAAGAAATCCTAACAGAAAGCTATGTCTGTAAGAGATAGCAGAGAGATATCATAGCAGTAAGAAATCCTAACAGAAAGCTATGTCTGTAAGAGATAGCAGAGAGATATCATAGCAGTAAGAAATCCTAACAGAAAGCTATGTCTGTAAGAGATAGCAGAGAGATATCATAGCAGTAAGAAATCCTAACAGAAAGCTATGTCTGTAAGAGATAGCAGAGATATCATAGCAGTAAGAAATCCTAACAGAAAGCTATGTCTGTAAGAGATAGCAGAGAGATATCATAGCAGTAAGAAATCCTAACAGAAAGCTATGTCTGTAAGAGATAGCAGAGAGATATCATAGCAGTAAGAAATCCTAACAGAAAGCTATGTCTGTAAGAGATAGCAGAGAGATATCATAGCAGTAAGAAATCCTAACAGAAAGCTATGTCTGTAAGAGATAGCAGAGAGATATCATAGCAGTAAGAAATCCTAACAGAAAGCTATGTCTGTAAGAGATAGCAGAGAGATATCATAGCAGTAAGAAATCCTAACAGAAAGCTATGTCTGTAAGAGATAGCAGAGAGATATCATAGCAGTAAGAAATCCTAACAGAAAGCTATGTCTGTAAGAGATAGCAGAGAGATATCATAGCAGTAAGAAATCCTAACAGAAAGCTATGTCTGTAAGAGATAGCAGAGAGATATCATAGCAGTAAGAAATCCTAACAGAAAGCTATGTCTGTAAGAGATAGCAGAGAGATATCATAGCAGTAAGAAATCCTAACAGAAAGCTATGTCTGTAAGAGATAGCAGAGAGATATCATAGCAGTAAGAAATCCTAACAGAAAGCTATGTCTGTAAGAGATAGCAGAGAGATATCATAGCAGTAAGAAATCCTAACAGAAAGCTATGTCTGTAAGAGATAGCAGAGAGATATCATAGCAGT